TTTTTCTTAAAAAAAAAAAAAAAAAAAAGTTACCTTTATGACATATTTATTTACTGCTGCTTATTAATTCACTAAAGCAACACAACAGCAACATATCCAGAAAGAACTAACAAATAGATTAAAATAACCCTTGAAAGTTGGAATCCATTTTTGACTACTGTTCTTTATAGCAAATTGTCTGATACAGTCACTTTACAGTTTTTTACACATTAATCCAGGGCACATCAAGAGAGCTAAGAAGTATTATTTAAATATTCATATGCCTTTTTTTTGTTTGTTTTATAATGCTCAAAAGAGGTTCTGTCTAAATAGGGAAAGTAATTTTTTGGTCTCAACTCAGGAAACAGTAGTTCTGAATGTCTCAGAACTTATCTCTGTTTTTGGTTAGTTTTGCTTAGGTTTACTACTGTCAGCACCAGCACTGTGGTTTTATATAAAGAATCTGAACCCAAAAATCACTGTGCTTACTTTTTCATCCCCAGTATAAAATTGGGAGAACACTTGTATCTGACTCGAAGCAGATCTCACAAAACACCACAAAACTGTAACATGTAATGTGTCATTACAAAATTGTATGGCATGTTGAAAAATTGGAAGCAGTGGTTCCAAAACTGTGGCCTGTTTTGATTTATTATCAAAGTAAACAATGCAAGCAACATTGTGTTGTTGTTATCACTTGTTTCCAAATGTAATTGAATGAAGCTGGTTTGGTTTTAGGTTGTGGGTTTTTTTCCAGTTTACGTGTTTTGTACTGGCTAGTGCCTTCAGTGCAATACCCATACAGCATACTTAGTTCATTTTCATACAACTTGTCTTTTTAGTTATAGTGAAAGGTTCTGCTGCTGCTGTACTAGTGTGATCTAAATTACATGGGGAAGGGGAAATAAAAATAAGTGGAGGTCTTGCAGATGTCTAAATAGCAGTACAAGAAGATATGTTTCTTAATGATATGTTAGTTTTCCATTTTTCATCTATCCCCAAAAACATTACACAGCTTTTTCCATTTGTATTCAAGACCCTTGAAGTTACTGTGAAGTTTGAATTAAACTAGTGTGTTCTGAGGAGTGGATTTTGGTGCTAATCCAAGATTTGCTATTTGCATCTGCATATCAGTCTTGTCTTAACCTGTTCAGATTTTTGGTACAGGAAGTTATTTCTGTAATGTCTCTACATGGAAGTAGTGTTGTCGTTTTGTTACCTGGTTTTCTGAGCTGTGATGAAAAGCAAAAGTAGTTAAAAACTCCATTAATTTAGAAGCTGGCAGTGTCCTCCTATAATCCTTTTACTAATAAGAGATAATCCAATTTTAATTTTTCAGGAGTAAGCAAACTAAAAATCATTATAGTAAATTAAAATATCTTAATTAAACTTCTTGGTTGCCATATCAGTAATTCAACATACACATTCGTTACTGTTTTTAGTTTGTAATGTCACTTGTTGAAAATCTGTTGCCCCTCTTCCTGTCTAATCTGCTTTTCTCCTTATGTAAGTGTAGTATTAATGTACAAATTCAAAAAATTCAAGGAATGCACTGCCTTGCTCACCTATAAGTTATTGAGTCCTTTTTAGCATTTGCATGTGAAATTCACATTCAACAAGCTTCAGTCTTTCTGTTTATCTGAGCTGTGTCCATTCTATAAAATTCAGCTGGTGAGTGTTTTAAATAATCACTTTAGTTAAAGGCAACTTGCCCTTGTGTTTGTTCTGTTCTGTATCATGGCAGTTATATTCTGAGCCCGTTTTTAGTTCTGTTTTATGCTGTTTGATAGTTGCAATGCTTTCTTGGATTATCATCCCACAGTTTCTAGCCTGGCTTTTGGAAGAAGCTGTTTCTAGGAAATTTCAAAAGGCCACAAGGATATGGCTGCAGCTGGAGGATTAGCTATCCATGTAGAACTATCCATGTAACACAAAAGCCATTCCATCTGTTAGTGCTGCTAAAAGCAAAGCTGTAATTTGAAAAGCTTTTGAAGTATGGTTGTTTGAAGAAGTTCTGTGTGTGGACGTGTTAAAACTGTACCAAGGAAGCCATGCATCTGAAGAGATGCCTGTACACAAAGTATTAAGGCAAAGGCAGAAACTGGAATTAATGATCAAAATATGACGATGACAACACCACCACGGAAATCTAAATTTAAACTTTCTTTGTGTAAGAAGTAATTTATTAGCTGATGTTAGAACTCTGAGTGGGCAGAAGTGATGTTTAGATTAGTGCGATCTTGGTTTGCACTGTTGTACTTAGTTGCTGCTGTAACTTCTATAGTAATTTCATAGTATTTACATCTGTACAGTATTTCTCACGGAAATCTCCAACCAATTGCAAATACTAGTTTAGCCCCATACCCTTGTGAGTAAAAGAGGAGACCTTATTCCTGTTTTTTCACATGAAGAATATTTTAAAACAGGAATAGACTTACATTTTCAAGTGTCTTCCAATATTGAGTACATCAATAGAGAGCTATGCTTACTAGGTTTGTGATCTGTGGAAGCTTTCAGAAAGTTTGTTTTCTTCTGAGCTGTAAAGAAAGTTAGTGGTAGAGCCAGAATCAAAGCTACTGCTTTTAATTGATAGAGTTAAGACATGTCCCTGTCCACACTGCTTCTGCTGGCGGAGGTTGTAAATCATTCAGGCTTTTGCAGCTGATAATCAGGAATAATTGTTAGTCTGGACATTTAACATCAACATTGATTTTTTGGGTTGGTTTTTGTTGTTGTTGTTGTTGTATAACAATAGTTGTAAATGTTTTGGATGAGATTCAGAAAGTTTTTAGGCTCGTAAGTCCTTTTTAAGTTCCTGCCTCTCTACTGAACTTAATGAGAGGTAAAAGCCTAACACTTCTTGAATCCAAGCTTTAATGGTAAATTTTAATGATATTTTAGGGGACAGCAACATAACTAAGGCATGTATTTTCTGATTTTGAATTGCATTTGTATTATATTTATTCAACCCATCTTAAAGAAAAATGCATAAACCTGTTTGTTCTTTCAGGAGTGCATTAGAGCCTTAGGCCGAAATAAACCTCATACACCCTTCAGAGCAAGTAAACTTACTCAGGTGCTAAGAGATTCATTCATAGGAGAAAACTCCCGTACCTGTATGGTAAGTTGGTTTGGTTAACTGTTCTAACAATTGCAAAGAGAAAAGATGCTGGGAATTTAGGCTTTTATGTTTAAAATTGGTCACTTGCTACTGGCAATGTGTTGGACTTAAGTTTATCCACTAACTGACACTATATGTGGAGTGAGACTTTCAGCAGAGACATTTCAGATAACTTGCTCCCTTCTCACCTTTTATTGGCCTTTCTTATGGCTTGTTCTAGTTTTGTAGCTATGCACCTAGCTAGAAACACTTATAGCTTGAGAAGTTTGGTTTTTTGTTTGTTTATTTTTAATAATGTCTTAATTATGTGAGAGTATTGTTTGTTGACTCAATTTTGGAAAAGGTGGTGTAGGCTGGAAGTACAGTGGTGAGTTACGATTTTTAAATGACAGACAAATATAAAGTTGGTATCAAAGGCATCAGAATATGCTCTAGGCTGTTGAGGGGGGAAGTAGTTTGGATAGATGGGATGAATAGTTGTGTATTGTATAAATGTGCATTTGCATCAGTCTGAAAACCAGAATTATTCTGTCAGATGGTGGAAAGGACAGATAAAAGCACTGATGCCCAGTCGTTTTATTTGTGCATCCTTAACATTTCTATTTATGGAAATGCAAACTCTCCGCAGTGGACACGGATTGCTAGGCTTGTTTGTGTTCGTTACTTTTGACATTCTCCTTGGAATTAATTAGTCTAGAGGCCAGAGAATTCTGCAGACCACAACATGAAAACCATGGTGTTAGGGCAGCCTAGTCTTCCCTTTAGCTATTAGGTATGGTTCTAATTTGAAAATAGTGGTAAAATAGCATTTTTTATTAATCTTTTTTTCTCCTTCAGTTTTCTGATGAAAGGACAGGATTGTTTTCTTTCCACTGAGACATAACTTCATAAATCCTATGCAGGATCAGAAAGCTAAACTGTGCATCTGTAGCTAGTGTTATCCACACTGCTGAAGAAGGTTTGGAAAGTTAGCCTGTTGGAAATTACTCTCTGTACCTAGAATAATTAACATTTGTGAATATTTCATGAAGTTCTCACCATCACTCTTACCTCCTTAAAGTGCTAACTAGTTGTCTTTGTTCTGGTGAAGCTTTTCTATTTAATTATTACTCTTATCATAGAGTTGTCGTAACATTTTTTACCATTTAAATGTGTGAAAATTCTGGTTTTAGTGTTTGTTCACATGTAATTTTTACCAAGAATTTCATCAGCAAAGTTTTTTCTTGAGATACTGATATGGGAAGAAGAACACTTGGGTGATGGTGGCTTATTCTGAATTATAGTTGAAAGGAAGTAGGGAAAGAAAAGAAACCTACAGTGCATCTTTACGGTTGTTTGAATTGAGCTGTCGCATTTGCAGCACTTGTTCCTGCAATAACTGAAGAATAAAGCTGCCTCTCTAGAGATCTGACAGGTTTCTGAACAGCATGTATTGAATTGAGGGAGGTGTAGGAGACACCTTAGCCTGGAATTACTCCCAGTCTTCTCCAGTTCCCTGGAAAGAGGAGAGGAGATTTGCACTCCAGTGGCCAAGTGGTGGGAATAGTGGATAATGATCATCAGCTTTACCCCTCTTCTGGGTCTTCCTTTGCCTCTTTTATAAAGACAATTTATTCAGCCTTCCTGTGTGGTATTTACAGTTGGCTCCTTGGCAGGGTGCGCCCGGTTTGTAAGCATGTTCATGTGTAGATTTTTATCATACACTGGCAAAATTTTACTGATGAGATTTACAGGAAAAGAAAAGGGCAAGTCATTATGGTTTGTGATAGCTAAAGTTGAACAATATTTTATTAAACTAAAAGAGTAGTTATCCTGGAGGTGTGCTGACTGCTGGTTTGCAGCAGAGCCATGTAATTAACCGTGGTGCTTCAAACTTCTAAAAATGATTGCAAAAATAGTTTAATAATGAGTAGTTTCCTTTCATGTTTCTACAGTAGACTGTATAGATCACTGCTATGTTCTCTAGAAGTGCTACTTTATGTGAAGTAAATTAAAGCATAAAAGAACTTTTTAGTTACAACTGTTATAACTGTCACAAGGTAACATGTAGATCATGATAGTATTTCTTCCAAAATATTTTAGCCTGCTACAGGCAAAATAAATTAATGAGTTCGCAACATAGAAATATTATTCAATTGGAAAACATTATTTATTGAACGTGTAAGACCTCTTTTAAGATGCTGTTTTTGCTTGTCAATGAAGAGGCATTTATTGTCAAGGGATTCCTCAACAAGACAAAGATTTGATCCAGTGTTCTAATGTGGTGTTAGAGAGCAAGACATTTTGCGAATATGTGGTGCTTTTCATTATGGAATGCATATAAAATGATGTAGTAAAAGCTTGTGATTTTAACCTTCTAAGAGATTCTTGAAATGTCCTAGTATAAAATACCTGCTGGGCCTTTTCCGCTTGCTTTCTGACATACTAATCTGTAAGTGGGATATTTGAGTCACATTTGTTTGGTAATTTCTACACTTCATTTTTATTTGACTTTTCCTTTTATTGTTTATGGAATTCCTGTTGCAATTTTAAAAGTTACATTTTAGGGATAGAGCATTCTCTTCTGTATATAAGGTTAAACTATGGTTTGGAAACTTCCCTTTTTTTAAATTTCAGAAAAATATTTTGAAAATAACTTTATAACGTGGACAGTTATGGCTAGGATCTGCTTCATTCTGAAGAAATCCAGAAACATACAGTCGGCATAAATAGGTTGTTTTGAACTTTATTAGTCATTGCAAATTTTGAAACTATTTAAGGACCATTTAAAGTTGTTTTTGAAGAACTACATAGTAGGATAACGTATCATCATTTGAAATTTGCAAGGTAGCTACATAGAATAGTCTCATTTTTTAACCAGTGCTATATCCTTGACGTGCTGCATCCTTGATGTGCTGCAGTCATAGCTGAAGTGCCAGACCCTTCAGCCCTCCAGGGTGGGAGTAGGAACACGCAGACTTCAGTGTCCCAAAAGGGCCATTGATCCCACTGTGAAGGCTTATAAGCAATGTAGACGCATTTGAAATGGGAAGAATGGTAATTACGGGTCTTAAAGATATTCCTGTCCATAAATAGTGCAGCTTTTTCCATCGTCATTTGAAATTACGAATGAGGAAGCGAGCAACAGAGAGGTCGGAGTCCTCCTGTCCTGCCTGGGCTGGGCTTGTGGGGCATGAGGACATGTGATGTAGTGGACATTTGTATTCAACAGACTGTCGCTTGTGCATGGGTTCTTGTGGCCTGAATGGAGTATCCACACAGCTGACGGCACCTACAGTAGCACTTCCCTGTAGCAGCTGTACCTTATACACTTCAAAACGTTGGAGCAGTCCCCTGGTGTTACGGTAGTGGTGCACTCTGAAAATGTAACTGATGGAAGAGATGCACGCACCGTTCATGTTAAATGAGTTTGGAAGGATTTTAGGAACTTGTAGGGTTTTTTTAATTAGCACCCAGAACACTTTATAAAGATACATGCAACCATACGATCTTTTTAAATCTACACTTGTTGTTTACATTAGTAACTGATGTGTACCAGTATTAGAGGTTTAAACTTAAGTCTGTATGGTAGCAGGCTCTTTAGACTTTCTAATCCCCTCCCACCACATATTTTTCCTTTCTCCCCAGTAGGAGAAATTCCTCTCAGGATGACTACCTGTGCTTTTGTACGGTAATGTCAGCAGCAGGATGAAAGAGAAGACCAGGATTATCTAATCTTCATCAGTTTCAGTCTCCTGATGCTGTGCTACCACAAAAAATGTTAGCGTGTAGGATCATAGAGGTGTTTGTCCTGGGTAGTGCCTTTATGGCTCTCCTGAAAGGAGCATGGATGAAAAAATTGGACTACTGAGAGAAGCTAGGACAAATAATGATGCCACTGTTGCCTGATCACAGTTATTATTTTTGCTGAGTGCTGAAAAGAAGGTGAGATCTTCAGGGTATTTTGTTTAACTGGAAAAGGAAAGACTTACAGATTCCAGATACGTTTGATAATAAGTTAGCTATCAAGTATTATTTACAGATAACTTCTGAGAAAAAAAATAATCTTTACTTACAAAAATAGTTAAACACATGCTTATCCTTAAGATTATCAAGTACGGTTTTGGACTGTGGCCAAAATAGATCTCCCAAATCAGTATACAGTCTGCTTGAATGGAGCCTACAAAGATATATTAAAAAAATAATCTGGTAATTGTTTACAGGATATATTAGACTTACTTTCTACTGAGTTTCATATTTCCTTTTTTGAGAAGTCTTTGTTTTTTCAGTTAAGAGTTTTGCATTTACATATTATGTTACCAAGACAGTGAGATGCGGGAAATTGACTGAAATTTTACGAATTCTTAATGTTCCAGGTATGGTTAAAAAAATTAAATTGAAGCTTTGGCTTGACATCTCTCTCCTTGAAATGTCATTGTGTAAGGACAGCTGTACATAGTAGACAGTTTTTGTAGAAGATCTCAAATGAAACTGGAGATTAAAAAAATAAAGTTAATTTGAATTAATCTACCCTTTCATCTGTACAAAGTGATTTATTAACGTGTGGCTTGTTTTCTCCAGATCGCTACAATTTCACCAGGGATGGCATCATGTGAAAACACTCTAAATACGTTGAGATATGCAAATAGGTATGGAAAATGTTATTGCTTATAGCTATACCGGCTGTTGACCACTGACATTTGGAATGCTGTTGTTCGATGATGTATAATTATTTTAGCTACTTGAATAATTTTATCGTACTTGCATTTCTTAATAAGTTTAAAACCAGATTACTGATCCAGGCTCACATTTAATTTAAATTGTCACTTTTTACAACCATTACAATGTAATCAATAGAAACTACATTTAAGCCATTATCCAGGGATGGATAATGTGGATTGCAAGGAATGTGGGAGATGCCCCTGTTAGTTTTGGCCCTGCTCTGGAGGCACCATGTCTCGCATTAGGGGTAGTCAGTATTCATGGTGATTCCCTGGGGTGTTAGCTGAAATACCTTTCTGCAATGTGGGGTTTTTTTCATCCCCTTGGTGGAATTGCATGCAGTTGCCAGTCTGTTTCATACATATATATGAAATTTTATACTTCCCAACTTCAGGCAAATACCTGAGACCCCCTAAGTAAAGAGTCAGTTAATCCAACGGTTTATATATATAATATCTCTCTCTCTCTCTCTCTCTAATCAGTATAGAGAAATTAGCACCTCCAGAGGCTGATGCAGCACCTCTGAGGCCTGTACTACTCTCTGAAAGTGTTTGTCTCTCTTCAGAGAGTGTGAAAGGTGCCTTCCCCTGCTGCAGCTCTCCTCCGTTTAGCGTCTGTGGAGATGGAGTGATCAGGTCCTGCGTGTCCTTGCAGTCAGACCTGTGACCTAGAGACCCCCCCATGCTTTACTGCAAAGAACAAAGGAGGCAAACAGCCTCTCGGCCATCAGAAACCCAGGTTTGGCCTGCTTGCCCCAGTGAAGGGTAGGGCAGAACCACGTCTGCTCCTGCTTGGCTGGGCACCCTGGCCAGTCGCTAATTGGACACAAAGGGCTGCTAGGAAAGCTTACCGCCCGCTCCTCTCGATATCCGAGTGTGTCTGTGTCTGGATCAAGGGAGCTAGCAGAAAATCTGCCTGGCTTGGACCAGTCTGCGTGGTCTCCTTCCTGGTGAGAAGGAGGCATCTGCTCCCCTGCTTACAGCAACGTAACGAAGGATCTTGCACATTCATCAAGACTTGTTGGATCTTTTACCCCTTACAGAATACGCGTTGCTGAAGTGACTCCAGAAAAAGACACTGCAAAACTAATTAAACGCCTATTTCTAGTATACTAAATAGTTGCGCTGAAACTGTTTCTTCCCCTTGGTGTTAAATTTGTATGTTGTTATGGAGTAGAATCCTGTCACTGTAAAGTTGCTTCATGTATTTTGTGTAGTATTTTAGTTTTTTTTAGCAATATATCATTTTCATAGTACAATTAGTTTTTAGGTGCTGGACACCAGTGTATGTGCAGTGTAAGACAGGGGGCAGAATAGAATTTAAAGTTTTGTAGCTGTAGTGGTTTGATATTTTAAAAGGAGCCGTTTAGTGGAATGTTGAATGTAGAGCAAATTTTATTAACTGCACGAACTGAAATCTGGAATTACTCTTCTGAAAACACTGCTATTATAGTCCCTTGCAAATTAGCAGCACTGGTTTTGTTCAGTTTTGTTAGTGATCTGTAACTCTGTTTGCAGAAGGTTTCAATATGTTGGCACACTTGTATTTTAATATAAAAATAATTTTATAGTTAAACTATTAAAGAAGTATGCTAAACAAAGAGTTGTCATTTTAACTGTGTTTATAAGAACATTTTCTTTTAATTTGCTGCTGTATTTTGCTGCTGCAGAGTAAAGGAATTTGGAATTAGTCCTTCGGACATTCCCTTCTCACAGGGTAGTGGCAGTCGCTCTGATCTCTCTCCTTCCTATGAGTATGACGACTTTTCTCCTTCAGTCACCAGGTCTACTTCATTCTATACATGGAATCTTTATTTTTAAGTTTTCTTTTTGGCTATCCAATTTTACAGACCAGCCTTTCATTAGTCCCCTTGCCTTGAGTCACACATACTTTGTTTTTATTTTGTTTGGCAGGTGATGGTTCTGCATGATCTGCAATCATCTTCCCAGTATTTTGTTCACCCTCCTTAAACATCCACACTCTGTATCCAGGCTTGCTAGTTTCCTTCATACATATTTTAAAAAATGGTGATGTCACCTTTGTACATTTAGTGTACCAAATCTGACAAGTTTGTGTTTAGAATAATCTGAATATCTCTAATTAAAAAAGAAAACAATTTTCATACATACCTATTTTAAAAACTTTTCATTGCTCTGAAGATGAATGACATAGTTTCCATTGTAGTAAATAAGTGCTACTTGAAAAAACATTTTTCCCTTTAAAAAAATGAAGAATATGTTCTAAAACTTGCTATACTTGTAGACTTTCATGTGTCTGTTTCATAAACTTGCTTTTAAATGGGCTTTTTTCTTTGACAGAATCATTATCAATCTTTTAAACTATTTTCATGCTGCAAGAGACTAACATTTTAATATGATATTTTCACCTTTGAAATTATCTTAATTAAAGGATCTGTTCATTCTCTGAGATACTTGGTTGCAAATTATTATTTTCTTCAGAATTCTTCGTGGATTTGTTATAACAGCTAGTGGGGTGCTGGTTGACTAACTTTTTTTAAAGCACAATTGTGTGCACAGGAAAAGATAGATAGTCAGGTTTAGGATGCTGAATTAACTTTTCTTTCAAATATTACTCATTGTTAAGGAGTAAATATTGAGGGTTTGGAGATTTTTGCCCTCTTAACCGTTAATGAGTAGCAAGATTTCAATCAGAAAATGCCTCTTGCTAGAAGATGGACTGTAATCCACCTGCAAGTAGTTGAAATTCAATGGTCCATGCTTTTTAGGAGTTGGGCTAACATCTTTTTGTCACTGAAAGTACATTAAATTTGTGAAGCTGACATCATCATCCTTATTAAATGAATTAATTGTGCTTAAACCCATAGAGCTTTATTTTTGGTTGTGACTCTTCTGCACAGGAAGTTACTAATTCACAGATGAAACATTTTCTGCTCATAGGGTGAAGGAGCTGACGGTCGATCCTAGTGCCGCAGGAGATATCCGTCCCATTATACACCACACTCCCAATCAGATCGATGACTTGGAAACACAGTGGGGTGTAGGGAGCTCTCCTCAGAGGGATGATCTCAAACTGCTTTGTGAACAAAACGTGAGTGGTTTACAGCATTACATGGAAATAGATGATGATTAATACAGTGGTAGAACAAATCCAGAGTAATGTGTATTTATAGCCTGTTAGCAAGATCATTAAGTAACTACAGCATGCCTCTTCACCTTTTCACTTTATGGTGCTATGTTCATTCCCATGCAAAAAAACCCCAAAACAAAAACGTTTCTTGAAGGCTGAGAGGGGAATGTTTTACTTTTCTTTATCTTCCTTGCTGATTAGGGCTTTTAATGTCTAGTCAGGGTCCACTCTAGGCTCTGGCGTTCTTTAGTGTGCATTCTTCTAGCATAGCTTCCTATTTTTTTAGGCAATTAGAAGTATCTTGGGACACTCATCTGTTTTATTTAACACTCTTGTGTTTTTGAGCATTATTTTCCCTGCATGCCACACGCATTTCAAGTGAGTTTGCCTTTCTCTGCATTTAGAAATCTGACTACCCATCATTCCTCCTCCCGACATCCTGATTTTCATGGGGTAAAACCCCAGTGCACTGTTTCAGAGAGAGCCCCGTCATGTTCCCAGCATGTCTCCCTGGGCTGCAGGAGTGGGGAGCTGAGAGGCATCTTCTAAAGGGCATTTTCCCCTCATTACTGATTATCAGCTCTAGTCCTCGTTCCTGAAATGTTAAACAGGGATTGAAACTCGATTTGTGAAAATGCTGATGAAAGATAGAAAAGAAAAATCCTTACTATGAATGTATTTTTCGCAAGAGGCTCTGCCTTCTCAGATACCTCTTCATGGCATCTGCTGTATTTCTCTTTTTAGTAACTGGCTCTTCTTCCAGGACTATTTTCTAAGAATATGCTAGTGATTCCTAAAGCTTCCCACTGGACAGTCCTTCCAGCCTGATATCCTTTCACATCATACTTTTTCATTGTTTATGTGGAACTAAATTAAGCTTTACAATATGTTTTAAAAAAGATTTCAAAGGCATTGTATAAGGAACTATACTGTCTTGCTAAAACATTAATTAGTCTACCTAGCGCTTTCCCCTTTGTTAACTATTCATTTCTAAAGAAGCCCTGTTTGCTCCAGTTTGTAAATCCATGTTGTGCATTCTTCTAATGTATTAATCACTATGTACGTTTTAGATTTCTCACTTTACATTCATTCCTCTTTTTTTTCCAAAGGATTAATTTAATTTTGACTTCCTGAAATGTATTGAATGTAATTGCTGTTCTCTTTTTTTGAAAATTGTTGTCTGACAGTTGCGATATGCATAACAAAAAGCCCTGACAGAAAACCAGAGTTTTCTGTAGGCCTTAAAACCTACTAGAAATTAGCATTCTTCCCTTGTGACTTCCTCTTCCCACTACTTTAACTTGTTTTTTTAATGTGGAATATTCCATACTGGAATGTTTTCCAGTATTCACTAGGATTAGTGGCTGGAAATTTTTAGTGAATATGAATTAAATTTAACTCTGTGAACATTTTGAATTTATTGCCCTCTCTGCTCATTTCTGGAGATTTTCTTGTTAGAAGTACTAAATTCTATTTTTGACAGGTTCTGCCTTCTGCATATTTCGTTTTGTGTTCTGTGACGAGATGGATCACATTCAATATATTTCCTGTAGCCACAGTTCTTTCCAGACTAACAAGCTTAACTATTGTTTTTAGGAAGAGGAAGTTTCTCCACAGTTGTTTACTTTCCATGAAGCTGTGTCACAAATGGTAGAAATGGAAGAGCAAGTAGTAGAAGACCACAGGGCTGTCTTCCAGGTAAAAGATGGAGCTCTACTTTGTTTTATCCTAATACAGGAATTCAGGTTTTTGCAATGAAACTGCATACTCTTGAAGATGTAGGATATCATCTGGTCATTCCGTGGCTGTCAGAGATTTCTAAATTGTTTTATTATGCTAAGCCCACTGTAGCAAAAAAAGAGGGACAGACTCCATAACCGCTAATCTTTGTTCCCCTAATGAGAGAGAAGCCTATTTCTACATCATCCCAGAAATTTAGTAAAATTTTCCTTTTCTTCTCAACAAACATTCCTAAACAGACTGTGTTTGTCATAAGAAAGTTGCTGTTTTCTTTTTACTATTTTTACTATTCACTATATCTTCTGTTGTGGTCCTTTTCCAGCATTAGTGACTGTGGGTTTTTTTTAGTTGCAGGGAGTTAATTCAGATTGGTCTTGAAATTTTCAATTTCACTGTCTAACCTATGCCAGTATTCCTATGCCAGAGCTGGCAATTAATAGTAACGTCTCTATCAGCACCATTTCTGTTTGGTCATCTCCCTCTAAGATGCTGCAGTACTCCCTCCAGGTAGCTCATCTGAGTATCCTTTTGTGACATCTCCCTCTGAGATACTGAGATCCAGAAGAGACACATCTCTAACTGCCTCTCTCTTTTTACAGAAACATAAAGGTTTCCACTTGCTATTAGTCAGGGTCTTTGGAAGGAATACTACCCATGCAGTGTAATGCTGGTCAGCGCCACGGAGTCTTTAACATTCACAAAATAAATTGTAGTAATAAGTATGAGTTACTAGTTTTCAGAAGGAAATGTGAGTTGATTCTGTTCATAACCTTATGAGTCTTCAGGCAGGCTGTCCGTTTGGCACGTCTGCTGCAAGAGAACAGCAGAGCATTAAACCTGTAGGGAATACACACATCTCCTCAGTTTAGGTATCTAACTTAGTGGAACATTGATGTGTGTTCATAATACAGTAGGATGCTAAACAACACATTTTACAACAGATGTATAGGTTTAGTTATTATGAAACACTAACCCTGAAGTAAAACACGCGGAAGTGTGAAAGTTATATGCCGTATGCCGTAGCTGTGTCCTAACGCTTGCGACTTCTGGAGAGACAAGCTGCATTAGTGTAAGATGTTACTACCTCTGTGTGTCCATCTGGCCTTCTGCTGGAGATTACTGCTCCTCCCAGCTGTCACTGGAAGGAAATGTGTCCGAGCCTCAGCTCCCTTCGTTCACAGCATGGATTGTTAGTTTATGCTGTGGGTGGAGGTGGTCTGCACCAATACGAAATCTACCAGCTGTACCAGGCAGAAGTTGTCTTCTGTCAGCTTTCTCCTGGAAGCTGCTGATACAAAACATCCTTTCCTAACAAAAACATCTCAAATAGATCAATGGAATGAATCGTGCTCTAGAGGTGTTAGTCTTCCTTTGTGTCTTGGATGTACGAGTTTACATTAGATGAGATGAATTCTATCCCAATGTGAGCTCCATCTGTCCTGAAAGCCAAAAAACATACACGGGGTTTGGACTATGCTTTCGATATTACTTGGGCTACTGAGCACAGAGGGAAAGAATTTTAGTATTTCAGGCCCAGCATGCCTAGAACTGTCAGCTGCTTTCTTTTTTTAAATCAAAGCATTTCCAATGGGATCAGTTCTCCTGATCACAGCTTTGCGTGGTTCTGTAAGCTTTAAGCTGCTGGTTGCATTCTTCTTTGCTGCAAGACTTTTTTTTTCCTCTCTTTTGGTAATATTCAGAGTGCAAAGATGTCTAAGAGCTGGTTTAACCAACCTTTACTCTACTCTTATCTGTCTGGGGAGTTAGCTCATGCAATAGTGAGCTTAAAATAGTGAGTGGCAACCGGCCCATACTTAAAATTAAAGCCTGACTTCGAAGTTTGATACCTGCCTAAGGGGACATAACCATGACATAAAGTTCTGTTCTCCGAGTTTCTTAGCTTTACAACTGCCTAATGTTCTGAATTTGAAGAGAACTGGGGTAGCTGGTATGACCACTGGAATTAAGAAACAATGTAGAAAACACACAGTTTTGCTGAATTAGGAACAAGGTTTCAATTTTGCTGCATTCGGAATAAGGTTTCATTTTACGATTGAAATCTGTTATATTGAGGTGACTAGACAGTAAAAGTGTGGTCATCTTGCAAAAAGGTCTAATTCATCTCTTTGTCTTGAAACTTGTCTTGAAACTTTGCTAATGTATTTAGTTGTTTTTTTTTAACTTTTATCTAGGAATCTATTAGATGGCTGGAAGATGAAAAAGCTCTTCTTGAGATGACAGAAGAAGTAGACTATGATGTGGATTCTTACGCTACCCAACTTGAAGCAATTCTAGAGCAAAAAATTGATATTCTGACCGAACTTAGAGGTAGATGGCTTTTAATCACTTTTGTGTGCATTATTAGCAATGTGTTTTCATATGCCATGGGGACTTGCAGTAATAATGAGGAGAAAAAAAAAGAGTGTGGTTATGTTTTAGGGTCTTTTTTCCCCTTATGCTGCCCTGAAATGTCCTGTGGAAGGAACATTTATTCTGTTGCCTAAGAGCAAGTTCACATCTGTGCTCAGTTCATCCTAGTTTAAAGGAAAAATCTCTGCTTTACCTCCAGGAAGTATAAACTCAGTCATGCAACTTTCCTTTTCTTTTCTTTTGTTCCGAAACAATAAAGGAAGGAAAAAGAAAATCCAAATGAACCGTATGAAAAAAGAAGGTAATGCAATGAGGAAAAAGTAGTAGGAACTCCCAGTTCCTGCTCTGTTGCATTCTGTTGTGTAGCAGGGAGCCTGCTGTCATTTTTAAGACTGTGCTTAAGAGTGGCATTGAGCTCTGAGTAGCTTGGTTCCTAGCTTACTTTTTTCTTCAGCAGCCTTTCTGTCTGAATTTTGTCAGCCTCTCTTTGTTGAAAAACAAACTGCAGATAATTCTTAGTGCCCAAAATTGACTCTCGCACTTGTCCTCTAAAGTCAGCTTGTCAGCTTGGTACCTCATTGAGATGAATTTTTCATTTTAGTTTCTGTAACTATTTGGACTCCAGGAGACATGCTATACTGGTAAAAATTCAAGGGTGGGGCTGGGTGCTGAGGGGCGGGGGTGGGGTTTTGAGCACTGTTAGAAAACTCCTTATGAGATAAAATCTTACTTTTTACTCAGTCTGAGTATCTGCTGTAAGTTAGAAGAATACATCAAGCACGTAAGATGTGGCCTGTTTGCCTTGTAAGCATGCATTGGCACCAGTATACTTTTAGCAAAGAATTGGAGGTACATTCGTTGGCTTTTTATGGACAGAAGACTATTTGAGACACCAGCAGTGAAAAAACACAGTTTAGGTGACTCCCTGTTCTTCGAAAACTTATTAGATACTGCTTTTGGAACAAGGTACTGGAGGTAAAGGCTATCTAAGAGATCCTTGCATCTTTACAGGCAGCATGACACATGTATAGCTTTACAGGAGGGATGAACTTACAGTCAACAATTCTTTCTCCCAGTATCTTCTGTGTTCTGCTCGTGGCAGATAACGGTCACTGAATATTTCGGCTTTTATTCCTGGCACTCCGGGACTGACATCTTTATGCTGTCATTTTGGTTTCCTTCTTCCCATTCTTGGGCATATTACTGGAGAATGGAGGGGGACAGGGACAGAAATAGGAAAGGTTGCCACGCTTCCTTTCTCAGGTTTCTCCCATTCTTGTTATAGTTATGATGAAACAAATGAATGATGCATTTATCTATTTATGGTGAATAACTTCCAAATTTAATCACAGTGCTTTTCACATTCATAGAAAAACAGGGGGGAGTAGAATTTACTCTGCCGGTTTTAGAATGTACAGAAGTGACTGATTGTACCCTAAATACAATTTTGTATGCCTCTAAGGATGGCTTGGAAGCTGCTGGAAAGGAAAAGGATGTATGTAGTGTGTATCTCCCTATACTCTGAGTTAGAAGCAGAATTTAAGTGTGAACAGGTTACATGCTGGGAATGCAATTGTGCGGCTTCCAAACCTATCCTGCCTAGAGACGGGTAGCATCTAAGAAGGGACTAAGTTGCTAAGCAACTTGTTTGTATGGTGAGTATTGAATTTAAGCTTATCTCAATCCTTCTGTAGTTTGTAGCGTCAGCTATTTTTGTGGAGGAGTGTTCTTTCTCGTACATTAGGGCCAGGATGTGGAGCATCAGGGCTTAGTTTAAAGATCTGTGTTGAGCACAAGCACATCAGCACTCATTGTCTCTTTTCCATTAAAGATAAAGTGAAATCTTTCCGGGCAGCTCTACAAGAGGAGGAACAGGCCAGTAAACAGATCAACCCGAAAAGACCACGCGCCCTTTGAAATGGGCCCTTGCTGCTAAAGGAATCCACGAACCCGTACTGCTGTAGCACACATTTGTTACAAAACCCAGTGGCCGTAAGAACTCAACTACTTGAAAGTGTAAAAACATTAGAAATGTCTGTGGAAATGTCCTGTTTCTTATTCACCTGAATGACATTTTCAGTTTTGTGTGAAATGCTCCTATGATGTCTACAAAATGCTTCTAGACCAGACAGCACAACCATGCAGGGTTCAGATCTGTGAAGCACTTTGTTTAAAATATTTCATTTATTCAAATTGTGAATTTTATTGTTTGGAAATATTTGCCATGTTTTTAATAATGAAGTAAAACTGTGGCCATTAAAAAGTCACAGTATTTCCTTTCGACTATGTTCAGTTTTATTACAAAGACCAGCTGTGCAGTTTTAAATTGTGTTTGCGTGCATGCACACCTCACTAGTGGTTGTACATAACTTCTCTTCTACAGACAGCTGTGCTTACCTCTTCCCGTTCTGTGCCTTGATGAAGGCTACTTAACCCTAACCATCCTCTCTCTGAAGCACAGCCTTAATAAACAACATTCCTTATTTGTCAATATAAATTACTTTCATTGTGTGTATGTTTTTAATGTGTTTTGAGACTTTTTTTTTTTTAGTGGCTAGTTTCATTTCACAGGATGTGCCATATCATTTGAACAGGAACTGCAAGAGCTGTTAGGAGTGGACAAACAGCTGGACATTCCATCCTCCTTGTAAAAATCTGGAATCTAGATTTATTTGAATACCATAAAGAATGGTTATATAATTCTAACGTTTTCTCTGTAATAAAAAAAAAAAGGAAAAAACAGAACAAAAAAACAAAAATATAAATTAGTTGATGTATAATAAAGGGTAATGTTTAAGTACTGAGGAGAGTTGTATCTTAGGATAATGCAGATATACAGTATGTGGTATGGTGTGATAATGCTGTCAGAGTAAAGGTACGATCCGAGCTCTGCGTATGGATAGGATAACTGTCAAAGTTCAGGGATCCAGCTAAATACATACATATTGGCCTTTCACATACTGTTAAAATTTGGCTTTTGATGCATGACAAACTTACATGTACATTAACTGTAGTTTGCAGGTAGTTTGAGTAGCTCTGTTGCTTTAAAAAGGTAGCTAATACCTATTTTTCCCTTTGTACAGTGCCAGCAGCTGAAAAGTGGGGTGAAATTGCACCGTTTGGGGATTTTGCACAATACCTCTACCTAGCGCTAATAGAAATCCCACAAGTACCTGAATTCTCACGAAGGGCACCATGTGCATCAGCACTTTTTAGGTGGTGGCACTCAAGTTATTTTTGCAAGTCAGTATCCAAAAAAGATTGACCTTTCATGTAAGAACTTCTTGTCAAATGAAGAATTGTAGACCTCTCTAGGAGTTCTCCCTGTTTCCAGGAGTTCGTATCAGCAGACTTTCCCTTGGAACTGTTTAAAAATTACTTTTGGAATACAAGCCTGTTTGTTTGTGCCAGGCCTGGAGGGAAATAAAGGGAAGGCAATGAAAAGAGAGTTAAATGAGCCAGGAATTCTTGTAGTGTTTAATGTTTGTATCTCCCATAGGAAGGTAGGCTATGGGAAACTCTTGTCGCATCATGGTTAAAAATAAAAAAAAAAATCCTGTGTGTAAACATGAAAACTGAAACAATAATGTAGATTTTACATAATGTGTTTAATAAATTAAGCTATTAAATGAATTACAGATGAGAATTTACTTCTATGAAAGTTCTGTTGTGCTTTGGGAAGGGTTTCGCTTTGTAAGCATATCGGAGTTACACTTTTGAAAAGGCCTCTGGAGCTAACTCTTCTGTACAAATTTGTCATCTAGGAAGAAGTTCCCCAGAGCACTGTCCTGACTTTACTTTTGCAGCAGGTCTTAAAAGAAACATTACACATCTCTGAGCACTTAATAACATTGTCCATCAGTTAAAAGAAAAAAACAATGAAATAGAAGGCAGCAGCTGTTGTTAGCAGGTGATAGTACAGGTTATCATAGAATACCAGAGGATTTCTTTGAAGATGCTCTAAAGAAATCTTACTTTCTAAAAAGCCTCTGAAGATTCAAACATCCTACATGAGAAACAGTGGCTTCCCTACTATTCCTCCATGCAAGCCTAGAGCCACAACCAGGCTGTCGTTTACAGCGGGTACCAAAGAGGAGAGGAAGGACAGAGACGGTTAGATTTCAGCAGCTTTTTACGACGCCTTGTAAATGACGTGTCCTGTCAAGTCGCAGATGCAAGCTGAAATTGTGTCTACTGCGGGGGTAATGTTAAGAGACAGCCTTTGTGACAGAGCCTGCTGTAAAGGTCAGATCTACACCGATACTGAAGCAGCGAGAATCAAGGTAAACTGATATGGCTGGTTACGGCACTTGAATTCCTGTAGCCCATTGCTGTGATGGGCTGGAATTACTTGAATAGGACTCGGACAAGGTTATCTTGATTCCTGTCCTGTAAAACGAAAGCATTTAGGAAGCGTGACAGAAATCTCCAGCACTTGTTCCTTCTGTATTGGTCTGCGCATACTGCTGTGGCTACCTACCTCACTCATAAACTGGCTCTATATGCAGTGGAACAGCACTAGAATAATTAAATTATAAAATAAATGAGCAATTCTGTTTTCCAGGACAAACTCTCAGGATGCCTGCAAATTGAAGTACATATTTCTGTACATGTTTCTGAATCAGTGACTTTTGAAGAATTGACATTGGATGTGTATAAAATGAAGTTCTGTCTTAGAGGAACTTCCGCTAATTTGCCTCTTCTCCACTTACTGTGCTCTTAAGGAAAAAGATACGCTATACATGAAAAAATGACTTATGGTAGTTAATACATGGAGTCACACCTTCACCGCTGCATAATGCTACAGAGTTAATAGTTACTGTTTTCCTGAATCATGAGACAGACCAAACTGGCTTTTTCTTTTGACAGGCGCTATGCAGCATTAATGCAAACTTCCTTGGGAAAACTCTGCCTTGTCTTTAATAACATGTATTTATAATCCAACCTATTAAGACACTTCAGTTGAAGTCTTTCTGTCAGGACACAGGCATGCATTGCTCCAAGACTCAGTGAAAGCTTTGGTGTATGTTAAAACTCCTCCTCACTTTGAAGGGCGAAGTAGTTTTCTTATAAAAATAGCTGTTTGAATTTACAGTTGACAAAAAGACCCCTTCTGTCTATGCTTATGAGCAGTGGCCCTTTGGTAATTTTCTGCTGGTTCCTACAGTGGTTTGATGGCAATAAGGAGGGAGTAAAGGAGACGACACTGCTAGTTTCAGGTACCTTGGTAATGTTTTTGTAAACGATACCAAGCCCACAAGATAAATACTCATTTCTGAGACACAGTTACTGGGATTTCTCCAAGAGAAGCAGATTACTAACAGACTTGGAATGTGGGTAGCGACCAGAGGACAAATGGAAGAGACAGGCATTTCAAATCAAAAGAAGGTGTTTAAATACACTTTAAAACAAACAAACAAAAAATCCCAAACAAATGGAATGATTACAACTGTTTTTGTTGCCCAGACCAGACTTAGTGGGTTGTACTGTTGAGTATTGTGCAAGAATATATTGAGGTGAAGTCCATGATCAGAGAACACAGACTGCAATTATGGCAGCATCAACCCATATTATTTGGTATATTTAAAAATACACTGTCATGTGGAAGTCCAGCATCTCACTTCAGTCATGAAAGAATTTATCGCCTTTAAAATACAAAGCAGCAGCTTCTTGCCTACTATCTGTGATAAAATTGCATGTAAGGTTTTAAAAAGAACCAGAGTGTGTACGCTGTATTGTTCATTGCTTTTGTGAGAAGAGCTTGTCCCAGTTGCAGTCACTCTGGCTTAAGTAATGACTTCGGTGACAAAATACAGAACATCTTTCATTCTTCTAGCAGAGTCTATGAGAAATGGATGCCTTCTGAATTGAAGCCATGTAGCAGTCTGAAAGAGTGAGATATTTACGTTATAATTTCTACTAATTTATACTTCAGCTTAGGGCATTTCTAAGACGTGCTGGCTGGCAAAGAACATAGGAAAATAGCATGAAAGCAGCCATCACTATTCAACTGCCATAGAAAAATTGTTACAAATATTAAACTAGAAGTTATTAGCAAATTTGCCATTTTAGAGATGCAGGTGTATTTTCAGCGCCGTTAGTTATATTGCATCCTACCAGGTTTACTACATTTTTTTAAAGAACGGTAGCTGTAGTAATTGTGACACTGAGAAACAGCTAGGAATTTTTATCTTAAATTAGGAGAGGATTCACGTTGCCACTGAAATTAACTGACCAGAAGTAAGAGCGGAATATAGCAGTTAATTACTCAAATACCCAAATTATGCTATAGACTAAGGCCTACTCCTCAAGACAGACAGAGAAGGGTTGTGTAAGTCTCCAGGGAAATTAAAATAACAACTCCATTATTAAAGCTATTTTTGGAGGAGACATAGAAGGGTCTAGTAGACAAATACCAGAAATAGGGATCTTTAGCTAGTTGCTTCTCAATACTATAAGCAGCAGTTAAAATATATATAGGGTTTAAATGCTTGTTCATGTTCAGGACTGGACGCAAGGAATGTCTGGCATTGAGAGGAAAACGGAGTTAGTACTATTCCTGTGTAACCCAATACTAATCTGTGCTACACAGGTACAGATGCAGATACAATTTGAAGAAGTGTAAAAGGAAGGCATAAAGAGAAAAAAAAAAATACCTAATGAAATCATCTATATCCATTGAACGGGCTCGTTTTTCAGAATAACCTGTATTTTTTAGGACTGTCTGTATTTTCTCTCCAATTTTGAAGTTTTCGGGTATTTCCTGTCAATGGAAAATAGGATACAAATTCATTTTCTATTCATAGCATAGAAAAAGGTTCATTTAAATCATCTATTCTTTTCCTCCTTTTAGAATAGCTTGCTTCAAGTGATAGAAATAAATTGTATTTTTTCTTGTATGGATTATTGTATTCTTCCATTCTTGTTTCTGAATTTTTATACCTCAGCTCGTGCACTATAAATGAATCACAACAGTACTGCTAAGCAGACACAAAAAGCGTTATTAGATTCTTATTAGATGAGTAAAAGTCCTTGAGACATGTCCAGCCAATACATTAATAACATACTCAGCTTTCAGCTTTTTCACTGTAATTTAACGACCCTTTTAGATTTTTCTCTAAGAAAAGAGGTAAGTTCCTCCCTCCCTCAAACTCTCTCAGAAAAACTTGAACATGTTAAGCTTTTCAATGTTGATTTTTTACTCTTACAAAAGTCAGTATGTAGGTCACAGTACACCGAAAGAGAATTTAATATATTAAAAAGGAACTTACTGTATTATGTAAGGAACAATGAATTCGGTAATTATGATCCAGCAACTGCTCTACAGCACTTGACCTGAAAGAAATACAAGTTTAGAATGAAAATTGAGCTTTAACTAGTTTTTTTTTTTACTTGATCGGTTGTTAATCTTTACTAGAAAAACTGTAACGGCTACACAGAGCTGTTCTTTTTAAACAGCTGCCTAGTTTTCTTCTGAAAGAAAAAGCTTGTGACCTCAGTGTAAATCCTCCATCATGGTTTATCCTCCAGCATGTACGCATGCATACAACACTGCTATGCATTTGCACAAAAAAAATGGTTAACTGGATGGACTCTCAAACTTTGAAAAGATTTCCTTTAATAGAAGCTACTTACTTAAATGCTGCAGAGAGTGTCTTGTTTTTCCTAACAAAGGCTATCCTTACCAGACCATCCCACTCCTGAAATTAAAAATTTCAGAATTTACAGAAAGGAACAGCTACTGCAAGCAAGAACAGTCACTACTGAAAATTTCACAACAATACTGAACACAAAGAAAAATCTTTCAGGAAAATATCTTTCTAAACATTACAAAACCAGTCCTGTCTTGGACAAAGCAATACAAATGGAGGAGAAAATACTTCACCCACAAAAACCTTTGAATTGTTCTTTTTCATGCCTAGGCACTATTGGCCAGATCTTATGTGCTGAGAAGGCAGACACTTGGAAGAAAATCCGGCTAACCTTGGGCAAAGCTGAGATAGTCTTGAAGATCAAAGCATTTTAAAAATTAACTTCAAGAATACTATCCTGTAACATCTATCTTCTGAGATTATACCCACTCATCTGAAGATTAAGACTTCCCACAGATACGCCTTCGATCATAACCAACAAAGTCATCAGCCAGAATGGTCTCTGGGAGATACAAACCACGATGAAAGGGACATTATTACTAGCAACTCTCCAACTGACACGGAGGTGGTACCTCAGTCTTGTCAGAAATACTGTAAACAAAGCTGCACCCGAATTGATGGTGGCACGTTCAGGTAACGTCCTAACGTAAGCCTGATCAACAGAGGAGTAAGTATTTTGGAATTGCGTAAATGCCAATGAATAGCTGGTACTTGGTGAAAACAGCACATGGAACTGAGTAATAGTGAGAAGAAAAATGAAATTAAGTATTATCACGTTGTTACAGTATGCGATGCTCACCTGGAAATTGATAGGTGGCGGTGGGTTCTTTGGCTCTATTCTGACAACGCTGGATTCAACTTTGGGAGGAGGCCTGAAGTTGTTCTTTCCAACCTGTTAGTCAGGAGAGGTCAGGCAGGTGAATGAATAAGCAGCAAATCCTCACATTCCTAGAAACGTTCTTCTGTCTTTGATAGCTCTGTTAGCTAACGCAGAATGACGTACCTTCATCAGATGGTCCACTCGAGCCAATAACTGAGTATTAATAGAGAGTCTGCAGTATAGTTTAGTTCCTGGTTTTGCAACCAAACGAAGTGCAAATTCCCTTTGAAACATAAGTATTGCACACCTGAGAATAGCAGAAATGAGAAAATGAATTCTAAGTAATCAACTTTTACGTCAAAACCCAGGTAACACACTTGGAAAACACAGGATTTGCCTCAGCGCTTAGAAGCAATAGAAGTTTTTCATAAACAAACTCTGCCTTAATTAGCTCTGAGCGTGTTAAAAAAAAAAAACCCAAACAGAAAACTTGGTGAAACCATCTGAATCTCCCTAAAGCTACAACAGAATTTTGTTCTTTATACTGCTAAATGGATCAGGATCAAAGAGACAGAGGCTTGCCTCAGAGTTTTGTGCCCAACTAACAAATAATTTTGAATAATTCTACGATGAGTCCTTCAAATCCAAACTCTAGCTCCAAAAATTGACCAGTGATGTCACTAACATTAGCACTTCAGTGAGAGAAATCAAGAACTGCTGACATACTGAGCAACACACAGAAGTACCTGGGCAGTTATATTTTTGGACCAGACAACAGGCAGCGTCTTGGCTTTGATCGTACCCTTTCCACCCTTCCCTTCTAAGGTAGGAAGGCATCTGAAATGCTACGATGCCCTACTTGTCCCTGGAATAACAACTGGTTATAATGCTAGTGTAAAGAGGTGCAACTCCTGTTCTCATCAGCTGGACACTCACTGATGCCAAGACTGAATTTTCTCCTCATGCTTAATACACTGACATAAACTAATTTCCAGGCACTGGCAGTTTTCGTATTACAGAAAAATCTTGGTGCGGCTCTGATCCCTCAAACTGAATTTAAGAACTAAAAAAATTTGATTTGGGAATATTTTTAAAACTGTTTTTTTTTTCTGTCAGGTAATACAGAGCTCTGTTCTTCCACATACCTGAAAAAAGGTCTATGAAGCAACAACTTGAAAACAAAAGGTGAAGAAATCTGAGGAAAATAGTAATAACATTATTAAAATTTCTGGGCGATTACCATTTAAAAAAAAAATGTTTTGCCATGTTGTTTAGCCTATACCTGGTAAGGCAAGTTAGCCACGCATGCATCAAAGAATGGTAAGTCTGTTTTCAAGATATCTCCAACCTTGATTTCCAGTTTGTTTGCCAGACACCTGGGGGGAAATACACTGTTGGTTATCCTCAGAGGAGCATGTCGCCAAAGTTTTTGCCACAGCAACTTCACTGCGTTAAGTGCTCACTATCTCCACAGTTGATACTTACGTGCCCTGGACTCTCTTCTGAAGTTCACCAACAAGTCTGGGGTCAATTTCACAAGCAATAACCTGAAAACAAAGTATATATTTGCAACTTTATACAACTCCTCCTAACTGGGACTAAAATGTCCATTGTAAAAAACCCCTGTATCTATTGCTACAGGTTTAAATAATTCTTTAAAATTCCCTATTTGGCTATGCACTTTCACCCCTCCCCAAAAACGTGCAAGACCTACCACGTAAATGGACAACAGCAGTATAGTTTAATAAAAACCGTACAAGATTTACATGAACAGCTAAAAACCCACTGGAGTTATGCAAATGTTAAGAAATATATTCCATAGAGTAATTCTACTTATTTGAATCAAGCGGATGAAGATCGTTCTGCTTGCCACAGTCTAAGCCACAATGTGGTTTGAGCTGGGGAAGGTGGGGGGGAAATTCACACTCACTTTTTTTACTTTCTCTAACATCTTCACCGTCAGGTTCCCGGTTCCCGGGCCTACTTCCAGAATGACGTCCGTGCGTCGTAGGGCCGCCTAAGAACAAACAGCATTTCAGTTATTCTTCTAGAACCAATTTCAAGCAACCATTTAATTTTAAAACAAAAGGCATGTGATGTATGTGCAGCTCACTAAAAAGCCGGAATCGGCTAGCAGAGGAGTGCGAATGCCGTTTGGAAAGGGATGTGAGGCAAACAGTGAAAACAGAAGTATCTTAAAGCTAATTTACGAGGGATCGCTGGCCAAGTATAGAAAAGTCAGCAAGCCGCCATGTTTAAAAAAAAAAACAAAAACCACAAAAACCAGGCAATATCAAAGCAGTAACTGTCGTCCAGGAGGGTCCCTCCACAACCACCGACAGGGGGGTTCAGCGAAGAGGGCCGTGCACCAGGACGCGCTTTCCCAGGGAAA